AAGAGGGAAAAGAGAGGGAAAAGAGAAGGAAAGAAAGAGAGAGGGAGGGAGAGAGAGGGAGAGGAGAGAAAAGAAGGTGTTCCCAGCTACGAACAATCGTCCAGGGACACACCAAAGAAAGAGAGGGGAGATCCTGAGTATTCCATTCAGGAAAACCCCAGAAAGCAAAGAAAGGGGAGGGAAGGGGGAGGAGGGGGGACTAAGCTCGCGACAGGTTCCAATGAACCTTGAACAGACTTCGGTCGCTGCGACCACGTACGGCTTGCCCAAGGGCTGCCACCTCTGACCGCTGCGGTCACGTAAAGGCATGAGCCAGCTTGGAATTCCAAAGATGAGACAAAAATCATCGTACGTACGGCCTAGGCCACCTACGCTCGCTGCGAGCTGCTCTGTATCCGGGCAATGGATACGTTCGACGTACACCCGTTCGACGGGTCCACGGGAGGCACTCTGCGGGCTCATCCCGGGTTGGCACGAGGCCAAACACACTTGAGATATTGTGTACTGAACTGAATGCGGTGCCACACGCCGGCCTAGGGTTCCATTTCCTAAGGGTACACGTATAAACCACGGGATCCTGGAGGTCTTCAAGAGGAAGTATGGCCCAAAGGGAAAAAAGACGAGCGACGAACCGACAAGATGACGTCGTGGCGTGCAAGTCTGCGGAGCTCACTAGCACTTTACAAAAGGAAGAAGGGTGGCCACCAGCTGCGTCTTATAATGCGCCCAGGTGCACCAAGCAGGTACGTTTTCACGACAGCTTGGATGGGTCTTCGTTGGCCCATGCCATCCAAGTGTCCATGGGCCCCCTGCTTCGACATGAAGTTAAAAGGAAAACCGAACAAATCCAAAAGGATCCCTATGATTCCAAGGGTTACACACACACAACTGTGAGGCACTCTCGCACGCACACTCTTGCAGGGCACAATGGTAGGACACTGTTGTGGGACATTCCTGCAGGCCAATGTTGAGGAGCACTCTTGTAGGACGCTCTTGTCTCACGCTCTTGTAGGACATTCTTGTGGGACACTCTCCTGGGACACTCTTGTTGCAAACAATCCTTTGCCACACACTTGGTTTGTGCAGCACACTTTTGTGAGACAAGAGTGTAGGGGACGCCCCGGACACTCTTGAAAGAATGTTGGGGCACTCTTAGGGGACACTCTTGTGGGACATTCTCGTGTGCACTCTCAAATGCCCCATCACGTCGCCACATGCATTTTGTACGAGATTCCTCCAAAAATCACACTGAGAACTCTCGAAAGCGAGCGTTGCACACAAGACTTCCCCCAAAACAAGTCCTGCCAAGCAGCTTCGCCATCGAAGCCCCTCGAAACAGCAGCCGGTGACACGCCAGTCGCCAACACGGACAAGGTAGTACCAGACCTGCCTCGAGAAGTGACTATGCCACGCCCTGACATGTCTAGCAAGACTTGCGCCGCAGGACTCGTTGGGAATGATTTCGGCCCATTGCCGCTTCACCCTTTTCCCTCCTCGAGATTTGTCACGAAAACACGGCTTCAAGGCAAGCGCGTCAAGAGCACATGCCAATCACACACGGCGACATTCCACACCTCCAAGTCCAAGAACCATCAAAACCCCCCCTGCAAATGCCAATCCCAATGGCCCCGCAACACGAAGTGTTGACCTCACAAACCACTGCACGCTCGCAGCAAAATCAAATAAACATAATCCTTCACAGGCATGCTAGGTCTCGACACTATTTCACACGAATCTGACACTCCACATGTCCATCCAAGATGAAAGCAACGTCACACGAACGCAGGTCCAGCCCCAACCCCTCAGACTACAAGCGAGAACCCATCAGAATCGCTACGCCGCTACGCATTCGGGAAACAGTTTTTCAGGTGTGAAAAAACATGAAAGAACTGTGAAGCTACTAGTAATAAGTTATAAGGGCATCGCTACTAGGAGCAAGGACGCTACTAGTAGCTCCTGGCATTATAATATACTACTAGGAGCAAGGAGCTATTAGGAACAAGAAACTCGTGCCCTGTGACGCAACAAACTTCGTATCGCCTCGCTCGACTGCTCCATGCAAGGGCGTGCTTCCATCCTAACACTCGGTGAACGTGATCGAATGATCGACCAATGACCGTCCAGGAAGAAACAATTGAACTGTGATGAACTGCGCCTCTGCACGGACATTTGGATCAGCCTTGGCATTCAAAAGCACCTCTGCTGCGCCAGCATGGCCACCAAAGCCTTGAGGGGCAATTGGCAAAGGATGCCTTTGCTGGCACAACTGCTTAGGCTATAGCCCTGCTTCAAACCTCCAACTTGCCGCTGCGCTTCCTTTTCAATACGGCAAATCTCCTCCAATCTGGGCTGCACTTCAGCATCGACATGGGCAAACCTGGACATCTTCAGTCTGCTGCAGCTCAGGGCCCTCTGCCACCATTCTCCAACAGGGGCTAGGAGAGGGAGAAACAATGTAGCCAAACAAAACCATGCAAAAATTGAAAGGGCCCCAATCTATCACATCGACGCTCAAGGCAAATGCAGCCGAATGCTGTGTCCTATGCTCTGAGTGATAATGAACGATTGATCTGGACCCAGAAAATGTTGGCGCGGCTGCATACCTCGTGCATGTTCCCCTGCAGCTTGCTTGGCAAGGCTGTGGGTCCTTTTGATATGCGTCGGCAGACTCAGCAAGCAAAATGAACAAGTGACACCCCTGCTTGAACGCAGCAAGTGGTCAGCCGAGCCCTTCTGTTCATCTTTCCTCCAATCTTTATCAATCGAGTGTGGTTGGTCAAAACACCATTGTCCTTTCTGCACATCTGCATTCGTATGCAAATCTGCCACTCTTAGTGGCGCCTATGTGCCACAATCGCTTTCAGTTGAGAATTTGCATTCGCCTTTCATCTCATTTCGGGCTTGGCTTGCACCAGCTCTAGAACAGGCCGCACCGCCAACGATCTGCCTCCGAAATATTCCAAACCGTCCCCGGGTAAATAGAATGTGTTTTTTGAAAGAAGGTGGCAAGCATTAGCTAGGTACAGTTGGGGCATGGGACAGCTTGCAGAATTATGCAGGTCCTGATTTGTCTGGACTCTGCTTTCTGCAGACTCATGTGAGTTGGCCAGGTGGTGCAAACTTGGCGCCTTTGAGGCTCTACGTCTATTTGGCCTCCAAGGAGCACGGCTACACCTGTCAAAGTATACATAGTGCAAAAGCGACATACAGTATCTCTCATTTGGGGTGAGAGGCTCTTGATGAATAAAACGTACGCCGGCCATAACAACCCCTCTGGTGCCCATCTTGACAGGCATAGGTTAAAACTCCATGGGAAAAAGGAAAGTCGGTGCAATGCAAGCGAATGCTCTGCGCATGCTGCAGGACAATGCCAAGGCTCAAGGGTCAACCCCTGGAAATCCTAGAAATAGCATAGCGGATGCTACGGAAAGTACTGACGGCTACACAGTTCTCACACGTAGCCAGATTTCTCACAGAAAAGCCACAGCTTCCATTCATCTCCGGTCCTGCAATTCCCACGTCTGCCATCAGGTGCCATCAGGATGGCCAGGGAGTCAGCAAGAACGCGGTCCATGCAAAGCCTATGCTGGTCTTTTCAAAGGCTTTGGCTTGCCTTAGGTCTTTGTTGGAGGGCCATCGCTATTAGGTTGGAGGCCATCGCTTCTAGGTTGGAGGCCTTTGGCTTGCCTTACTTAGATCTTGGTTCCCTGATCAGTCTTCCACGATTCTCCTCTTCTTTTCAAGATTGTTTTTCACTGTTTTTCGATTGGTTTACAGCAATTGGGCGCATTGATTTGTTCGGAATTCTTCTCCTTCTCCGACTGCCGCTAGGATCCTAGCCTAGGAGTTCCCACCTTTGGGGTGCCTGCCTTGGAACTCGTGAACAATTTTGTTGTCATCGTGAACCTCTCATGGCACTTCCTTAATTCCAAGGTGTTTCTGCAGATCTGAGTGTCATTGTTGCTGTTCCTGTCGTTTCACAAGGACTCCACCAATGCGCAAAGTCGGCAAATGGATGCAAATGGTAAATTAATTGCAAATGGGTGCTCAAGCTGTCTCAAAACATTGTCCTTGGATCAGGCCGACATGACGGCAGCTGCAGCTGCACCAGCACCCGCTGCATTCGCTGGCTGCGTGTTGCCAGAGACGGTGTTGCTGAGGATCTCCTTAGATTCGGAGCATTGGCTCAATGCTCGTAACACACGTTTCGTCACTGAATGGCACAATGTCACGATGCTCACTCGAAAGCTAGCCCATTGCATCCAAGAAGCTATTTGATCCGGTCTCTCACTGAGAGCCAGCACGTCTTTGCGCTTGCTTGACAAGTGCATCCCTACAATGCTCGCAAACGTCAGCTTCCCTATGCGGATCAGCGAGCAGGTACTTGCCTTTGCCACAAGTCCAGGGCACCAAACAAAGCAAGAACTTGTCCGGAACATAACTTTAAGTGACGACACCGGCAACCATTTGGGCCAAGCGACTGTGACCACCGTCAGCTGCGACAGAACAGGTTCCCCTTTTTCGAGGCAGGCCTCGTCAATGATGATAGGATGTCCTATAAGCTCACGCTGTTTCTTGTTGATGTCCTGTGCCTCAAGACATCCACAAGCTGCGTTGCCGAAAGGTTCTTGCTCATTACGGAAAATGCAGAAAACAGTGAACAGTCCATCACAACATCCACCAAGATACCGTCACGTGTCCAGCAACTACAATCCAAGCTGAGCGAGCTTCTTGCCCCGCAACGCAAAGCGTCTGATCTGCTAGAAGATCCATGGATTCCTTGGCACGTTGCAGTAGGCGTTGGTTCCAGCGGGGCATTCGCTAGTCGCATTTCACCAACTGCATTTCCCCCTAAGAATCACACTGCGCCCTCCAAGCATATCCTTCTGATATCCTCCTTGTTGACATCGGGAAGGTGCAGCTTCGACACAAATTGCAAGACCTAAGCTGGACCAGTGCTCAGATCATCCCGTCACTTGAGAAGTTGATTGCTTTCATTCAAGTGCTTCTTTGCCTCTCTAGCGCTCTCTCACTCTCTCTCTCTCTCTCTCTCACTCTCTCTCTCTTTTTCGCTGTGAGCCCTGGGCCTCTGCGTACCTCACTTCCACACTCAATGGATCGGGCAACTGCTTCAGGAAGTTCAGCTCTTTTGCCATGATTCGCCGGTTTGTAAACAAGTGAGTGATGTAGTCCTGGCAGTTCCAGTCTTCAAAAAATTCGTCGCATGTCTTTTTAAGCCGCTAACCTCGAGATGTAACACTGTGGGCCTGTAGGTATATTGATTCGATCTATCAGGTCAACATTGGTTGCAAGATCGCAGACTGTCAAGCCCCATCGGGCAGCGCCTCCTCCGCGCACACGGATTCGACTCAAGAGCGCACACACATTTTATCGGCCCTTGTGCCTCATCTGCGCACACACTTGTTGACTCAAGCGCGCGCACACCTTATCGGGGGGACCCAAGTGCGCACACAGCCCCTGTCCCGAATGTTTCTGCGTATTTCAAATTTCACCCCTGCATTGCTCACTTAAAAGGGTAGTCAACTTGGAATGGCCACTTCCTTCTGTAAATTTTACCCTCAAGTGGCTCACCAAAGGGTGAGCCAACTTGGGAGGGCAACATCCTTCTCTAAATTTTCCCCTGCATTGCCCACAAAAGGGTGGGTCAACTTGGCATGGCCACTTCCTTCTCTAAAATTTGCCCCTGCCTTGCCCACACAAAGGGGTGAGTCAAGTTGGAATGGCAACTTCCTTCTCTAAAAATTTTCCCCTGCATTGGCCTCAAAAGGGTGAGTCAAGTTGGAATGGCAACTTCCTTCTCTAAATGTTACCCCTGCATTGCCCACAAAAGGGTGGGTCAACTTGGAATGGCAACTTCCTTCTCTAAATGTTACCCCTGCATTGCCCACAAAAGGGTGGGTCAACTTGGAATGGCAACTTCCTTCTCTAATTTTTACCCCTGCATGGCCCACAAAAGGGTGAGTCAACTTGGAAGGGACGGAGGAAGTGAGTGAGTGAGGGAATGAGGGAGTGAGTCAGCAAGAGGGAGTGAGTGAGTAGTTGAGCGAGTGAATGAGTGAGTAAGTAAGTCACTGAGTCAGTGACGAGTGTCTGAGAATGAAAGTGAGGGCACGAGTGACTAAGTCAGCAAAGAAAGAAGTAAGTGAGTGTGAGTGAGTGACTGAGTGAGTGCGTGCGTGCGTGCGTGGGTGAATGAGTGACTGATGGAATGAGTGAGAAAGTGACAAGTGAGTTTGAGGCAGCAAATCCGCGTGTACAGTTGAGGCATCTCATTCGCGTGTACAGTTGAGTCACTTTTCGCGCGCGCAGACGAGGTGCTGACCAACCCCATGAAGTCCAAAGAGGGAAGTCCGACTTATGGACAACTTGATAAGCATCAAGGCGAAGGGAAAGCGTTGGTTTTTACAAGGGTAACTGGAGGTCTCTCTGGCACTACATGACAAGGTACTCTCCGGCACTTTGTGGTCTCAGTTGTTGGTATGCAAGCAGGTGCCGTGGTGTGCTTCAACGATTGCTGGTGGGTAGTTTTTGGATAAGGAAGCAATGCAAAGGTAAACAAAGCAATATATATAAATAAGGTACTCAAGACTTAAGTTTAAAGGTACGCTATATTTATAGAACAACCATATCTATTCCGATCATCTATTCGCAAAAAAAGATTCATCTGATATACACGTGTATCATTGAGTGCTTCCTTGTTTGGAAACTTCCGCTCTCCCTGCCGGAGCTCAATGATAACGGTCACGATCGCCACGACCAAGTCTATGACAATGAGAATAGACAGGGAGACAAAAAGATCAATCAAAGAAACCGTGTGCAACAGGCGGCAGCCAAAGCCAGTTTCGACAAACAGGGTCCCGAACTCAAGTGAAAAGTAGGGCTACAGTATGTAGGAGGTGCTGATGGCAATTGTGACCAGGAGGTCATTGAACAAACAGTGTGCAATGTTTTAGGATTTGGCTTGACTTGACTTGGCCAAGACAGAGTACGGGCCTTTGGAGTGTGGTTTGTGTTACCAACACCACTTGCAGCACACCAGAAAATGGATGATTGTCACCTTCAAGTGGCACGATCAATGGCAACAACTCAAGGAACAGCAGGCAGAGCTGCATGGCTACGCTTCCAAGTGGGCTCGGATTTAATTTAGGATTTTTTTGTTTTGTTTTGGGATTTTTTTGTTTTTCGTGTTTCGTGGCAGGCGCAGTACTTTGTGGACCTTGAAATGCTACTTTGTGGACCTTGAAATGCACATTTCGTGGCAGGCGCAGGACTT